TTTTGATGAAAAGATTTAAAGCTTAGTCTCCCATATGAAATCGATTGATTTACAAGTGTCTCAAGAGTCAAGCCGCATCAACATCCACGAGTTCCAATTGTAATTATACCAGATAAACTTGTCTTAAACTGATGGATCATTGCAATGAAGTCTTTTGTGACAATGGGAAAGGTCTAGATGTTGACAAAGAGGGGAAAGGTCTAGATGTTAAGAATTTTGAGAAGTTGGAGGAAGACACTGATGAGAAAGAAGGAAATCCCCTTAGGATAAAACTTTCAAAAGTGGTTTAAGAGCTACATAGTCGAAAATAGTTATTGATAGGTGGATTTTTAAAAATATTTTTATCCAATTTATAATGAATGCTTTGATTTTTAGAGAATCTTGCAAAAATTGACCAGTAGGATATCCGAGTCTTAGAACGCATAGTTGTAAAATTTCTATCAGTCCTGACTCAATAAATTTAAGAGTCTTAGAGCAAAAACAAATTTGGGCTTTTTAATAAATTTTATACAAAAATAGTGATATTTGGGTATTATGTATATTAAAATTTAATTGTTTGAGTCTAACTTATTAAAAAGCCTTGTTTTTGAAAACACCCTTTTTGACAAAGAAAATTTTAAAAATAGGAATGAATCCATAGACCGATGACGCTCTACCTTACCTATTTGGGTCTTGCATGCTTTCTATGAAGCATCATACCAAATATTTTGAGTTAGATTTGGATTGGTTGATGAGTATTGTAATAGTGTATGATATTTTTCAATACTAGTCACCATCTATAGAAAAAATCGATTATTGATCCAGTATATTTGCAATGGATATCCATACTTCATTGGTTGTAGAATTCCCAGCAACAAATCCCATGACTTATTTTGACAAAGTCATAATGTTTATGACTTCCCTAGGTGATTATAATTTGAAATCATACCGTAAAATTCATGAGTTATCTCTCTAGGCGAATAGATGCTCTTCTTATGTCCAATCCAAAATCCTATATATTGCTAGTTAAATAACAAATATTCAAAAGTCTTTCATAAGAGGTGATCACTTAATTGGATTGTGACAACATTAATCTCAACTATAAAAGTATTTTTTTTCTTGATAATCAGAAAGATTTAGAATAATCAATATGGGTTTGATACCAATCTTGCTCAATTTTTACTCTAGCTTGTGCTAGTGTCGTTGCTCTGTCATTATACGGATTCAAACTCACGTAATACATACTAGATGTTTGCCCACGCGACGCGTGGGTTATTGTATACATTTTTTCCCCTGTTCTAAAAATCCCCGCCTAGACCCGATTACTCCCCGCTTAATCGCTAGGCCCACCCTGTCCGCCTCGATTAATGACTAATCCCTTAAAGAAATCAGTCACCCGATTACTCTCCGCCTAATCCGATTATTCCCCGCCTAATCCGATTATTCCCTGCCTAATCTTACATACCCCGATTATTTTTAGATTGCCAGTATAAAAAAACTTTTTATTTTTGTTATTCAATCATTTGAATTGGGAGTTTGTAATGTTTTACAATAATTTATGTTCATATTTTAATAAAAATCATAAATATTTGTCTCAAAAATACATTTTTATGTGTTTACTGCAATTTTAAAAATAATATTGGATTAATATGTTTTAAAAATATTAAAATAACCCTAAAACTAATCCCCGATTAATCCCCGATTTTAATCCGATTTTCCGATTAATCGCTAGGCCCATGCCGAGCGCCCGACTAGCGCCTAGCGATTTTTCAAACAATGATTTTTTCTTTATTAAGCAAAACAACAATAATAACGCATACATAAAAATAACAGATGAATGAGATAGTGAACATATCAATATATAAACTTAAGACTTTCACTTAATATTTTCGAGATTACATCTTGGTTCAATATATGTTTCACTTGTCTTTTTCCAAAGCATTACTAAATTTCAACTACCAAAAGATAACCATCTGAAAAATGACATTCATTGTATATCGTAGATTAATTTAATTCGTGAAAATATCCATTATTAGTTTTCGTTAGTTTCAAGCTATTCATAAATTGAAGGACATAATTAACATAACAAATTTTTAAACACCATATTACTATTAATAATAAACCATTTTATGGTACTTTTTGTAAATTTTTACAATTTAAAAGATATTTACATATAAAAAGATTAAAAAATAATAATCAAACATTATTAATGTAGAATGGGGATGGATCAAATTGTATAAAGATAAGTGAAAAGAGATAAATGACTATTCTATACAATTCAACATCTACCTCCACCATCAACTCCCTTGGAATATTTCCCTTCACTTGAGACTTATGTTGTTTCGAAACATACTCTATTTTCTTATCCTTCTTGTCGTCTTTAGTCTTCTTGTGACAAAAATATATATATTGAAACACTATTTGTTGAATTAGAAGAGAAAATGTTATACAATTTACCAATAATAGAAAACTTGGAATATGATTGTTCGTGAGATGTGTCATGTGTGTATTAATATTCATAGGAAATTTTTTTGTAATAAAAGCATATTTAGGTTAGATAACTATTTAACTTCCACAATCATGTTTTGTTTTTGATAAAACTTTCACAATCATGTTTGAATGTCATTTATGAGTAAATTTAATTGTATTTATATCATAATTTTTTATGTTACATTCCAAAGAATTCATTGTGAAGAAATCATTTTGTAGTAAATGATTTCATCTTTATAGTACAAAATAATTGGAAATGGAATATCAATTTTTTTTTTAATATATATAGAAAAATCCTTACACTACAAAATTTGAATTAAATAAATTTTTTAATGATCTTTATATCATTATATGTTGAATCAATAAAACTAAATATAATGATGAGTATACTAAAAAATTGTATTTGGAGATAAGAGAGAGTTAAAGAAAATTAATTTGATAATTGTATCACAAAAATTTTTTTTGTTAAAACAATGCATACTTTTAAAAATAAAATAAATATACATAAATATGTAGGAAATAATCAAACATTCAAAGTAAAAAAAATGAAGATAGTTTCTTTAGCTTGATTCTCTTATTGCGCGATGGTCGGAATTAATATTTTTGAATCTGCATCAATAAGGTAATTTCATTATAGCCATCAAAATTACAATATACATATGTAATTTTAAATTTTAAAAATATTATTAAAAAAACAAAGAAAGAATGAAGAAATACATAAAACAAAGAAGAAATAAAATTGAAAAGAATGTAAGATATATATTAAACAAAATATATAATCAAACTTTTACAATGATATCTAAATTGAGTTTTCAACTCATGCAAGAACATAAACAAAACAAAGAGAATATTTAGGATTTGAGATATGGTGGAGGAGGATGTGAGAATGGTTATTTATAGGAAAATAAGTGATGGAAGTTACATTTCTAAACTAATTAGATTATAGGAGTTACAATTATAATTATAGTGTGTTTAAATGACAATGAATGGAGAAAAAAATAGTCAATTCAAAATTATGTAATTTGACAATTGAGTACACTACAAAAAAAATGTACATTGATAGCATAATGGGATAGCACGGATTTCACAAATGCTATGAAAGATAGTATTTCAGATTTTGTAACTATATCATAGCATTCTATAAACGCTAATCCCTATAATAGCAAAACGAAACGTTAAAATCACAAATTTTACACTAACCGCTCAATCACCTAGTCAAAAAATTAGAATAAAAATCTAAAAATTTTATGACCGCCAAAAATTCAGCCAAATATTATACTTTTTACCTCCTTCACTTAGCCAAAATCACAAAACCCACTCGAAACCTAATTTTTCTCTTTTTCTCTCCGTAGGCCATAGTCTCCACTAGGCCTGGACATAAAACCCGAAATCCGAAAACCGATCCGAAACCGATCCGAAAAATCTAGAACCGAACCCGAGCCGAATAGTCACAAAATCCGAACGGATAATGAATTCTCCTATCCGAATTATCCGAACCGAACCCGATCCGAACCGAAAACCGAAAGGATATTCGAAAACCGGAAATAAAAATTATATATCCAAAAATATTAGTTATATTTAGTTGTAATTTTATAGCAAATAACAAAAATATCCTAGATTTCGGAAAAATTTTAGTTATATCGGTTAAAATTATACATATTTTTGCAAAATTTAACCAAATTTTAGTAAGATTAAACCAATTTTTATTAACATTGAACTATTTTTAAGTTTTTTTCCCCGAAAACCGATCCGAATCCGACACCTATCCGAACCGAAACCAAACCGATGACTCATAAAATCCGAACGGATAATAAATTCTCCTATCCAAATTATCCGAATCCGAATATATCCGAACCGAAACCGAACCGAAAAATCATAAAATCCGAACGGATAATAAACTCTCATACCCGAATTATCCGAATCCGAATATATCCGATCCGAATCCGATTTGAAATCCGAATGCCCAGGCCTAGTCTCCACAATGAATCCGTTGCCGGCCACAATC